AGCTCATGTAGCTCTTTAATCGACGAACAGTCGAACCCTTCATGATTTTTGCATTCATGTGGATGAGCTAAGCCGACATCGAGGTGCCAAACCGCGCACTCAATTTGTACTCTCTTGCGCAAATTAGCCTGTTCAATTATTGTTATCATAAAAGGTTTTTCTTTTATTTCCACTTTTTTCAAAATGGTTCAGACTATTTCATCATCTTTATTAACTTTTATTTAAGGAAATATTATTATTATTAAGTTCCACTTACTCAACCTTTAACACCAAAAGATCCAATACGTGATTTAGAGTTTAATTTAGTGTATTGTAAATTTGGTCTAAAGTTACCTCTTATTAGAGATGAAGGATAACCTTTAACAGATGAATAAGTATCAATTAAATTACCTTGGTATTTTACTTTATGTTGAGATCTTGATGCAGTATAACGTTTAGTTAATCTACCTGCAGCTTCTAATCTAACTCCTGATACTCTTTTATATTTTATATCACTTAATACTACTTTTTTAAGATAATTAGAATTTGTCTTATTATGTTGCATTAAATTACTTAATATATTATTTGTTGTATCAAGATTATTAACACTAAATAAATTATCTAATTCAAAAAAATATATTGATCTTTCATTTAATTTAATATCTTTAATTTTAGCTTTTCTAATTAAAGCTTTAAGATATCTTAATAAATTTCTTTTTCTTCTTAATTTTAATACTAACGGTTGTGTAAATATGTCACTATTTAAATAAAAATATTTTAAATTAATAATATTAAATTCTACATTTTTATTATATATTTTTCTTACTAAATTTATTAAACCTTGTAAGTATGAATTATCAAATTTTGCTTTATTAATATAAATTAATTGTTTATAATACATGTAATATTTCAAACTTCTAATAGATTTTTTTATAAAATCTCTATAATATAGATTTTGTACTGAATATAACTTTGAACTAAAATTAGGTAAAACATTTGTAAATATTTTACTTTTTTGTTCTTGTTGTTTTAATATATCTAATCCTACATTTCTTATTAACTGTAATTTACTTATAAATCTAGTGTTATTAAATAATCTTGTATATCTGTTTCTTAATTTTAGTAAATAATTAAGTCTTTGTCTATTATATACATATAATGTTACATTAACATTATCATTAGTATGTTTAAATTCACCATCACTAACAAAGATTTTGTTTGTAGATAATTTTCTTAATCTACGACGTAATCTATCTTTTCTTGATATTTTTTCTATAAATAAATTATATGAATTTAAATAACCTTTAATTAATTTCATTACTAATCTACTAGCTACAGGTATTAAACTTAAAGTATTTTTGTTATAAACATAAATACTACTTTTTCAATCTCTTACAGCTGGTACAAAATCTTTATTACGTATAGCAACATTTTCACTATTTAATGATTTTTTCTTATATGTATTTTTTAATTTTGATTTTATAATATTTAACATATCTATATATATATATTTAGATATTAATATAATTAATCTTATTAATTATATAATATTATGCTTGAACAATAGCCAAGTCTATTTCATCATTATTACAAAGTAACAATAATTATTATACAATTTTTTTTTTGTTTAAAGTTAATAAAGATGTTGGGCATTAAAAAAGGATTATTGTTAGCAATACTCACCTTTTAGTCGTTGAACGTCCTTATTTTACCATAATATAAAATACTATGATTAAGCAATAGAATACTACTGCTTATTGCCAAAATAAGTTTCGCTTCAAATACACTTAAATTATTTTTAAGTTATCTTTGAAATTTACCCAATATATTACCAATATTTTTTAATATTGGAGGACTCACAGTTCTAAATCCCTAGCGTAACTTTTTCTTTAATCCAAGACCTTTCCTTTATGCATCTTGTGATCATATGCCCCGCTTACGCGACTGATAGACTTGTAGGTCAAACAGTAAAGCAAGATTTAGCCATTAAACTTTTAAAGTATAATTAATCATCATACTAATAAAGATAAATATGCAATATTAATATGACAAAAAACTTTTATATATTAAAGTTTAAAATACATCTATTCACCATATAGTTAAAATCTTACTTAAAATAAAAATAAATATTGAACTTAATCTAAAAATAACTGTATAATTATAAACATAATTATAACAAATTAAAATTGTTGTAAAGTAAATTTACTATTTACAAAATGAACTTTGGATATACCCAGGTACTTTTTGTGGGATCTGTGCCCCGCATAAACTGCCTCCTAATCCTCAAGAGCATATAATAGGAAACGAATAAAGGTGTTTCATTGTTATCAAACAACTACCTTATACACTCGCAATCATCCTAAATTTTCACTCTTGCAATTAGTAACAGTAAAGCTGCATAGGGTCTTCTCGTCTATCTAGAGGTAAACAGTATCTGCACTGCTATTCCAATTTCACTGAGACAATCATCGAGACAGCTGTTGTATCGTTAAATCATTCATGCAGGACCGCATTTAACGGCCAAGGTATTTCGCTACCTTAGGACCCTCATAGGTAAGGCCGCCATTAATCGGGGTATCCTTCAAAACCTAAGTTAAAAACCGAGGTAAATCCGTTACCCAGCCGACATTGGGCAGACATCACACTCAATACTTTGATATTTTATCTTTGCAGAGTGCTGTGTTTTTATTAAACAGTCGTACAACATTATTTTATGTTTCCTCTTAACATTAGTTTAATTAAATCATATCATAAGATATGTTAAACTAATGATAATGGCCCTCCTTATCCCGAAGTTACGGTAGTCAATTTGCCGAGTTCCTTAATGATTGTTCTCTCAAACGCCTTTGTATTCTCTACTTGCTTACTTGTGATAGTATCTAGGTACGGTATATATAAATCTTATTATACTATTTTTATAGTATATAAATATAAATATATTTAGCATATAGTACTATACAATCTTGAAAACTTGTAACAAGAAGTTATATAGCTATACCAAATAATTTTTATTTAAAGTAAAAATTTTTCCAGAACCTTTATTACTAATTAAAGGGTTTGTTTTTTACTTTTAAGTATTTATATATAAATATCATCAAAATTACCTTTTGATTAATATTTTTAGATACCGAAAATTAAATTTAATACCATAAGCTTAAGGCGAGGATATTCCTTTTTCGTTACTCATGTCAGCATTCTCTCTTGGATTATATCGATGAATAGTATTAATACTCACTATATATTAAACCATTATACTTTTTGAGTTTAATAAGTTTAATACATATTACTAAATATAATTCATACTTATTACTTCTTAGAAGAAATAATAATTAATATTTATCCAATGTTCCGCTACCCCACATATACAACTATTATATTATTATATGTGTACAAGGTTTCGGTATATTGTTTAGATCCGTTAAATTTTCGGTGTTTTTTTCTAAAAAGTTTTAATCAGTGCTCTGTTACGAGGTCTTCAAAAAATGGCCGCTTCTAAGCCTATTTCCTGATTGTATTTAAAAAAAACATCCTTAATTTCACTCAACAATAATTTTGGAACCTTAACTCTTGTTCTGGGCTGTTTCCCTTTTGACATACAACCTTATCGCACTATGTCCGATTATTCAACATTCATCTTTGCCATTCCGAGTGCAAATACTCTCCGGTAAAGTCACTACAACCCCCCGATGTTGACAAAATCAATAGATATTGTCCGAGATCACAGTTCTGTACCTGCTAAGATGTTAATTGAATTACCTACTTATATAGGTTTCGCGGAAAACCAGCTATACTAGTCAGTTTTGTCTTTCACTAACTTACCACAGTTCTTCGGATATCTATACAACGATAACCCGTTCGGGCTTTTATAACCCTGACCATGGTAAGATCACTAGCCTTCGGGTCTAATTCTAGATACTTATTCATTTTTTCATAATTGGTTTATCTAAGCTTGTTCCATCATTTTTAAATGATGAAATCATTGCTTGCATCTAAAATTAACTTGCTGACCCATTATGCAAAAGGTACACTCTTATTTTTTATTTAAATTTTCACTCGAGCTGCTTATAAAACTACTATTTCAAATTTTACCTCACGGTACTTTTCACTATCGCTTATATATCATATTTAGCCTTAGAGGAAGGTTCCCCTATATTCAAACAGATTTTAATCCATTTTACTTTAACAAGTTTTGTTAATAGGCTCTTGTTATTTAGTTGACACCAAATAACAATCTCGTTTGATTTCTTTTCCTGAAGTTACTGAGATATTTCAATTCACTTCGTTTATTATTAGATTTCTCTTAGAATCTAGATTGACTAGATTTTCTTTAATATATAGCTAATTATCCATAATAGTTTCTTTATATACTTGCCTTGATATTTTCAAGAAATATATCTTTCATATTACCTATATTGCGATATACACTTATAAATTTAATTTATACTTCAGGTTATTATGATTCGAACATAACTACTCCTCAACCCAAATGAGACGCCTAACCAACCTGGCTCTAACCTGTATATAGACTAATTTTATACTTTTTTAGTATATTATCGCAAAACCAGAGAGTATATGATTCGAACATATGAAAGTTTTACCTTTAGCTAGACTCAAGCTAGCCGCCTTAAACCACTCAGCCAACTCTCTTAATTTATACACATTAAATATAATTTGTTATTTATATATATATAAATAATTTTTTTTTTTTTTTGATTCTTCAGTGACTCGAACACTGAACATATCCTTATCAAGAACACACTTTACCGGTTAAGTTAAAGAACCAATAATAATATTATTACAAGAACACTTAGATTTGAACTAAGAAATATAAGGTTGAAGCTTACAGTTTTACCTATTAAACTATGCTCTTATTAACGGAAAAGAGATGAATCGAACATCTAAGTGAAAAAACACAATATTTAGCAAATATCTTACCCTACCAATAGCAACTTTTCCTTTTAATACGGGTTAAACCGGCCTCGATCCGGCATCAATTATCCTGACAAGATAACTCTTTACCAATTAAGATACTAACCCTTATACAGCTAGTCGAAATCGAATCGACACACTTCGTGTGGAAAACGAACAGTCTACCATTAACTTATAGCCATGTATATTTTTTTATAATTTATATTCCTAATTAACTTATACAGTATGACTAGCTGAATTCGAATCAGCACATCTTATATGGTAAATAAGCAGTCTACCATTAACTTATAGTCATTTATATTAATTAAGACTTATGGGACTTGAACCCATATGGTAATGATTAAAAGTCACATGTTTTACCATTAAACTAAAGTCTCTTATAATATATTAATATATATATATATATATATTTAATATAATTTTTTTATTATTTATATTTATAAATCTAATAACCTCAGTAATATACTGAAATATATAAGAATAATCATACAACGTCAACAAAATGTCAGTATAAAATACCTGACTCATAACCTAAGTGATGATGATCAGTTAAGTGATAAGCTGCTAAACGTCATAAACCAACTGCTAAGAAAGCAGTTCCTATCATAACGTGTAAACCGTGGAAACCAGTACCGAAGTAGAAACATGATCCGTAAACACTATCAGATATAGTGAATGAAGATACTGCATACTCTATTCCTTGGAATCCTGTGAATATAGCTGCTAATATTATTGTAAACACTGTACCATACAATGCTCCTTTTCTATTACCTTGTATTAATGAATGGTGAGCATAAGTAATAGTAACACCTGATGATAATAAGATAATTGTATTTAACAATGGTAACTCAAAAGGATTTACAGCTTGTATACCTAAAGGTGGTCATTGTGCACCTAATTCTATACTAGGTGAGATAGCACTGTGGAAGAATGCTCAGAAGATTGCTAAGAAAAAGAATACTTCTGATATAATAAATAAACCTACACCTAAGTTTAAACCTTTTTGTACTGCATTTGTATGATTACCTAAATATGTACCTTCAGATATAACATCTCTAAATCATAAACCCATTACATAAGCTACATTAATTATAGCTACAGGCACTAAGTATCCAAATCCTTGGAAACCGTGCATAAATAAAACTGTAGCAGTTGTAAGTATAAATAATGAAACACTAGTAAATAATGGTCATGGAGATGGAGATACTAAATGAAACGGATGATTTTGAAAATTACTTTTAGATTGATAAACCATTTTTATTTATAAAATTTTAAATAAGTTTTACATAATTACTTTTGTTTAATTGTTATTACAATTGCTCCTACCATACCTAATAATAAAATTACAGAACTTATGATTAATCATAATGAATAACTAGTATACATTATATTACCTATACCTGTAATATGAGTAAACTCTACTAATGAGCTATCTCATCCTTTACTACTAGCATATGCTATTTCTTGTTTTAAATCTATTATATTAAATAACTCATTATCTAATTGTACGTTATAAACTTCAGAGAATGAATTTGATAAATATGATACAATTGTATTATCTGTTAAATTAGAAGGTAATACTTGACCTACTATATAATAGAAAAGTAAAACTGTTAAAACAGCTAAAGGTATATCATTATTAGTTTCACTTAATAATTCAGAAATTCTAATGTTTATTAACATTAAAATAAAAAGGAATAAAATAGATACAGCTCCCACATATACTAATATATATGATAACCCTATATAATTTAACCCTACTAAAATTAATATCCCTGCAACATTTACAAATAAACCTATTAAAAATAATACAGATATTATAGGATTTCTACTTACAATAGTTAACACACCAAATAAAATAGATAACACATATATAACATCTACGAATTCTATATTAAATCCATTCGTTATATAATCATTTAATAAAAAAATGTTATTCATAAAAAAAAAAAAATAAATCTTTGAATTATTTTATACAAATATAAAATATCAAGATAGGAATAAAAATAATTTTATTAGGAAGAAAAGGAATCGAACCTTCGATGGCCTATAGCCATTGAGTTTACAGCTCAACCCGTAAACCAACAAACGGACCCTTCCTTAATATGTATATGTATATATTTGTCTTTTTCTGGATTTGAACCAGTTGGAGAAATATCCAATATACCTATAAAAGATTATATAAAATATTAATATATTTTATATATATACATAGAATTTTTTTTGTTAAATTTTATTCATCCCGTGCAATTTCCATTACACGAACCATATTTCGACTTAACACCAATCAAAGTCATGCATACGAAAATTAAACTTACATATTTATATACCTGATTATATATATTAACATATAAAATAATCAAACTTATTGCACATACTCCTTTCAGCGCCTGACGAGTGGTTAGTACCTAGCTGAGATTAGATTCACCGTGACGTTGGTGATTCACGATTACTAGTAATTCCTTATTCATGTAGTCGAGTTACAGACTACAATCCATATTATATCCAATTTTGGGGATTAGCTCCATTTCACAATATCGCATCCCTTTGTTAAGGCATATGTGGCACGTCTATAGCCCACAGTATTTAGGCCATGATGACTTGTCTTAATCCCTATTATCTGGTCCAATGTGGTGGCGAACCACTTTATGTATTCAAATAAAGTGAGGGTTTTCGTTAATTAGAGGAGTTAACCAAATCTCACGACATTAACTAAAGACAGCCGTGCAGCGCTTGTAACAATTTTATTGTTATTCAAACTGTGGTAAGGTTTTTCGCGGATTATCGAATTAAATAACATACTTCACTACTGGTTTCAGAAACGGTCTAATGATTTCAGTTTATATGTTGCCATATTACTCTTGAGGTGGAATGCTTACACTTTCATTTATAGACTAAATTATATAATCTAGCCTATGACATTCATCATTTTCTGCTTGGACTACTAGGGTATCTAATCCTTATTGCTACCCAAGCCTTCGTCCCTCAACGTCAGTTTTTACATAGAAGGATGCCTTCGCCGTTACCAGTCCTTCTGGTATCAAAGTATTTCATCCCTACTCCAGAAATTCTTCCTTCTCACATAAAACTCTAGTAAAAAAGTACTCATTTAGAGTTTAATTTACCGTCTAGGTACCCTTTAAACCTAATAAAGATGACTAACACTAGTCTTCTACGTATTACCGCGACTGCTGGCACGTAATTTGGTCAAGACTTATAAATAGGAAATTGTCATTATCATTATCCTATTTAGAATTTTATACGAGTTAATCGTTATTGTATTTTTATAATACATTTTCATTCTTCCAAGTTACTGGTTCAGCCTTTCGGCCATTGACCAATATTCCTCACTGCTGTACTAATACGCATTGGGGTTTTTTCAGACCCAATGTGGTCGATCGACCTCTCAGTCACGACTACGGTTTTTAGCTAGAAAAGTCATTACCTTTCCTACTACACACCGAGATAAAGATTAACATCTTAAAGCGGATCTTTTATTTTCCTTTCTTATATAAGGGATTTTTCCCCTTACTTTAAGGTAGCCAAATTATCTTTTACTCACCTGTACACCACTACTACTCAGTTTATAAAAACTAATTAGTCGTTCGATTAGCATGTGTCAAGTACTTGGACAGCGTTCAATCAGAGCCATCATCAAACTCAAAATATTTATTGTATGTATGATATACATAACATACCTATATTGCATTATACATGCATTACTTTTGTTTTATTTTTAATATAAATATTTATAGATATAGATATTTATATTAATATATAAGATATAATTAAGCCGGTTTCTGTTTAAAACTTTAATAATTCTAAATTAAAACTAAGCATAGGGTTTATTGTTCGCAATTATTATGTCATATTAATATAACATTTAAATAATTTTTATTTTCTGTTATAATCCTTATATTACTATAAAACTTGATATTCAAGCTTATATGCCTAAAAAGTTTTGGACTTTCCTATATACATAAAGTTTTATATCTCTATATATATTTATAATTTTTTATATTATTATAATATCAGATTTTAAAGGCTGATATTATTAAACAGATATGCTAATACATTAACATCCAAAAACTAAAAATTTTTCAATGTAAATATTACATTATTATAATTACTTATTAGTGTAAGTCTAAACCGTCTTTAATATAAGAACAACTTAAAACTACAAAAACTTGAGCTTGAATAAATGCTATAGCTAATTCTAATCCTGAGAATGCAATAATAAATGCTAAAGGTACTAAACCTAAGAAGAAGAATAATACACCACTAGTCATTATATTATAAGTGAATCCACTTAAAATAGATAATAACATGTGACCTGATAATATATTTGCTGCTAATCTTAAACCTAATGAAACATTTCTAGATAAGTATGAAATGAATTCGATTAAAACTAATAAAGGTAATAATGCTAAAGGACAACCTGAAGGAACAAATAATGAAAAGAATTTTAATCCATGTTTTTGGAATCCTAAGAATGTTGCACCTAAAACTATTGTAAAACTCATTGAGAATGTTAATATAAAATGAGATGTAGATGCAAAACTATATGGCACCATTCCTATTAAATTATTAACTAATATAAATATGAATAATGCATATATAAAAGGAAAATACATTTGTCCTTTTGTTGGGTTAAGTTGATTTATTACTATACTATGTACTGTAGCATAAATACTTTCTTGACTAATTGATCAACTATTTGGTATTATTTTATTATTATTTACAGCTAATAAACTGTATGATAATATTAAGAATAAACCTATTGATAAGTATAAACCTATATTTGTTAATGATAAGTTTATGTTTCCTAATAAATTGGCATTAATAGAGAATAAATCTCTAATTTCGAATTGGTCTAATGGACTTAATACAAAATCTAAATGACGCATACGATTTTTTTTATAATATATATTTAATTAATTGATTTATTTTTTTTTTTATTTATTTATATTATAATTTATTAATATAAATACGAGAAATAAAAATACGTACGAATCTTGGTAATATATATTTACTAAATGCGTATATTAATATTGTTAATACAGCAAAAGCAAATACTACTTGATTTACAAAAAAGAATGGTACTAATT